TTGAGCATTCTGTGTCTATGTAATGCCTTAGATTTTTATTTAGCATCTGATGATAAGTAAATTCTTCAGCAGTGTGTAATTTGCTTTGCAACAAACAACAGCAAGGAACCAGCACTAAGTGGCTGCAGAGGTGGAGCATATAAGGGGAACAGAACAAGGGATTAATGGAGCTGAATGAGGAGTAGGTGTGAGTGGAACTAGCTAGATGGAAGCAAAGGGGAAAGGAAAAAAAGCACGAGGGGGCAACAAAGAGTAATTAAAGACTGCTTGACTATAATGGAAAACAAACTAACGATCAACAAAAACAGAATAACTAATAACTGAAAACTAAACGGGGAAAACCATGACATAAATGCCATTTCATTGTGCTTACAAGCCAAACCAGTGGGTTTAATTAAATATTCATGATTCAAGACTAATAGCCAACCTGCTATTTTGCATGTTCATACTTTGTTCTGGTGGAGTTCAATACTGTTGAACTCTCTTTTACAAGAAACTGTTAGTGACGCACACTCACACAGAAGAAGATTGTATAAATAAACAAATCTGGGTAAATACTTCAGTGACTCTTACTAACGTAAAAGGAGATCCATGTAGGGGTTGTCGTTGTTTTCTCAAAATTTTCAGGGTCAAACATGAGTTCCCACTTTGAAACCACCTATTAATAGAATTGTTTGCTTTTGCATCTTTTAGGTTTTTGTGTAACTGGTCAAAAACCAATATTTCTTCAAAATCAATGTTCAGTAGTTTTTAACTCTTCTGAGCTACTTTTTTCACAAACAGTTCATGTATCTTACCAGAAAGACACGGGTACAGATGGTTTAAAATAACAATTTAACAAATGTTAAATTTACTCTTGACATTGACATTTTCAAGCTGTATATGCAAAGCATGCAAGTTGTGCATGGAAAACAGTTTGACCAAGTGATTCCTCTACATGCAAACCCACATTCAGGCAGAGTTGCACCAACTCCCACATTTCCATCTGAAACACATGTGTATTCAGTATGCCTGTGGGTGGGGGTGCGTGTTTGTGTATGTGTGTGTTGGTGTTGCATAACGTTGCTAATCCAGGAAAAAAAAAGAAAGTCCTCTTTTTGGCTACCTTCTTACATGTAGCCTAAACCTAAGTTCACAGAGCCTTTCATTTTATACTGTATGAGACGAAGATTTAGGTTTCTGCATTTTTCTAGAAGAAGTATTCACAATATTCTTGATCTTCCTTACAATTTTTTTTAACACATTCCACTCAGAATTTAATAAGTCAATGTTACTGAATCCTCCTTCTGCAGGTATAGATCCTTTTGGGTTATGCCTCTCATGGCTACAATTTTAAAATATTGGGTTTAAGTTCACTTAAATTGAAAAGCTTCTTTTGAACAATTTTATTGAGCCATGATCAATATCACCCTGTCCTTGTTATCATGGATGTGGAACTTCTATCCCAGTTTTTATTTTTCCTTTTATATTTTTGGTAACTTAGTGGGAAGTCAGAAGATATGCGCCATCTGATTTTTCTAACATCCATTTAAAAGAATAGCTTCGAATTCGCTTCAAACCAAATAGAAACATAGCAGATTCTCATGTCTTCTTTTTTTTTTTTTTTACTTTGTTTGTTGCTTAAACATTTCTGTTTAATGGAAACAACTAGAGTAACAAAATCTGGGTGGGTATAGCTTTCTTGTTTCCCACTTTTGGATGCCCATTCTTTCCATCCCTCCACTTTTCCATCACGTCTATCCCTGCTGGGGTCGCAAGGGGTACTGGTGCGTACCTCTGGCTGTCAATGAGCGAGAGGCGGTGTACACCCTGGACAGGTCGCCAGTCTATCATAGGGCAACAGAGAGACAGACACAAATATTCACACACACTCACCCCTAAGGGGAATTTAAAGAAGCCAGCTACCTAACAGTCATGTTTTTGGACTGTGGGAGGAAGCTGGAGTACCCGTAGAGAACCCACGCATGCTCAGGGAGAACATGCAAACTCCATGTAGAAAGACCCTGGGCCCGGAAGCTGCAGCAGTGCTACCCACTGCACCACTGTGCAGCCCAGCCCTGCTCGTTCTTCATGTTTGTTAATAGGCGAGTACAAGCTAATGCAACAATAAAGCCTCTTTCGCACCGAAATTAGCAGGTTAACGTGGGTTTTTCAAACATGGGTAGACCCACTAACAATCGGAATTTGTTACCCTACCGATTGACAAAAAAAAAAAATTGGATCTGAACCCCGCTTCAAGGTGCGTGGCCTCTGTCCACCCACTGTTGCATGTCTGCTGACACTTTCACCTGTGTTAGCTTTGATGTTGTCACCAGTGCAACAAAAGTCAGGAAGGTAAACAATCCCTCTCACCAGTGCTGCAACATGTTTATCGACCGTAAACAGAGTATTTTCAACTGCTGCTGTGTGTTGACGTCCTTACGAAAATAGCAGGTTGACCCGGCTCTGGTGTTCCCACAGCATGCCCATCAGAGCCGAAGCGGTTTTAATACGTTTCGCTTGCCGAGTCGTTTGACCTGGGTAGACACGGGTGAGTGAGCTGTTCCCACTGCCACCAATAGCCGATTGTACCTGAGTTTAAACAGGTTTTTCGGCCAGTGGGAAAGGAGTATAACGGGAGTCTGGATATTCTGCATATCAAGATCACATGGAACACAGTATCGTCTTGCAGAGCAACACTGTATTTATCTTTATTAATCTTCCCATCAACTTTAACCAGCTTCATGCCCCTACACAACGAGTGCCCACAACATGATACTGCCAACACCATGTTTTTATCGATTGAACTTCTACGTTACAATTATGTGCTATTTTAGTCTGCTATATGTAATTTTGTGGTAAAACATTAACATTTTGCTAGTCTATTCAATTGAATTCAGTTTAATTATATAAGGCCAATTCACATTATGTCATCTCAAGGCACTTTACAATTCAGCCAGATCATACAGTCAAATTGATTCAAAGTTTTCTAAGGACCATTGATCCTGTGTGAATTTTACAAGAGTGAGAAAATATTTGCTATTAGTTATCTAAATCCTGAATATAAAGTAGACACCACATTCTCAGATGTATTTTCTTGTGTAATGTCACAAACATTAAAATGCCTGTCATCAATCTGTCTCAAATAAAACACAAGTAAAATATATGAGGAACACGCTGTTTATGACACAATCCTAAAATAGAACAAGTGAGCAGGCCAAGTAATAGGTTCAGCCACAGTCTTAATTGTCTTCAGGCTTTCCTGGGCCTCTATGGTTATTGGCACACTGGCCTTACAGCCGGATTGAATTTTTCCTTTGTGGTTAGGGTAGTTCTTGCTATTAATAACATGAGATTGATTAAACTGGAGCACCACTGTAAATAACCCTAAAGCCCTTTTCATTGATAGACAAACCAGAAGTATTTTGTGTGAAACAGCCAATAAAGACCTGGCTGTTTCCTCTTTGTTAAATAATAATCCAAACTACACACCCATCTTGTGTCTAGTTAAATTCAGAAATTGGCTGGAGGCAGAGGAGGCATTGATCTGGACAATCAGCTCTACACTGAATCGGTTGTTCAGTCACAAAACACCTGGAGAGGAAAACAGATATTAATCAGTGGTGATGAATTTGAGGCCAGATTGGAGTCGACTTGTTCTCAGCAATAGAAAGATTGGAGTCCAGTCTTCACATCAGGGAAGCCAAAACATATCTGGTTACACACAGGCAGCCAACTCATCTAAAGGAAAAATGCCCAAAGTACAGAGTGTTTTTCCCTCCTCTTGCAGATTCCAGTCTGAAGACAAACTTGCCTTTATTACTTAACTATCATTAGTGGTTGTGCTGTTTTTCAGTCTGGAGTGTGGAAAATACTTGAGTATTGAATATAAACAATGACTGAGAATACAAGATTTCTCCTCTCCAAGCCTGAGGGGACAACTCTAAATTTCTTTTGTGCAAACCTTTTTAAGATTTAGTCATGTATTTATAAAAGATCAACTTTTAATTTAAGATGAATGCAAATTATAAATATTCAAATATTTTTACAAATAAAAGCCTTCAATCTCTTTTAATATAATGCCCCAAACTAAAAAGATAATTGTTCAAATAATGGTCCTCTGAAGCTACAAAAATCCAAGTTAACCTGCAAATGACTTAAAATATGCATCATCAGTAAACAACCAGCATCAAGAAAACCAAGGAAAACAACTGAGAGGTCAAGGTTGAAACTGTGGATGTGTTTAAAGCAGGGTTAGATTTTTAAATTATATCTCAAGCTTTAAATGCCCTTATTATATTCTGAGAATAAAAAGTGTTTATCAGAACTGCAACCCAACCAGTGAGTTCATCTAGCAGACACACCAGAAAATGGGGTAGCTAAAAAAAAAAAAAAAAAGCTAGTGGTGCAGTGAATCATAACTTTTCTGCATTTTTACTTAGATTTTTGAAACGTCAAGTATTTATCATATACTGGAATAAATTTAACCACAAGTAAGATGTAGCATAATTGTTAAAAGAATACAAAACACATAACTCCACTATTCACTTCACTATGTTTTCCTCACAGTCCATTTAGGTGCTTTAGGAATAGTAGAGTTAATACTGTGCCACATCATGCATAGTGTAAAAATAGGGGGAAGAAGCATCAGTGATGCTTTAGTTAAGCATGATCTAGTAAGCTGATCAGAATAGCTTGTAAAATGGTGGATTCTGAAGAAAAAAAAATCCTAAATGGTGTAAAGATTTAAAACTGGTTAAAAATATCCTTTTCCAGCAGGAGGTGTCTAATGGGACTTCTGTAATCAGAATATTTTCAAGCCTACAAGTACCATTACATATCGATGTTTGAATTATAGGCCCTGATATAGTAATGATAATTTTTTCATGTCTTGTCCAATTAGAGTTAATAAAGTTCTTAACTTTACACCCGCTTAGTTTTAATGAAGTTCAGTAAAATCATCTGATTATAGAATCATGTAAGAATCAGAAGTCAAAGACCAACAACTTGATATATTATGTAAACATACGGTTTATTGCAAATGTGCAGTCATATCCACAAACCACAGCTGGTCAACTGTTTCGAGGACAATTTACAGCAACATCGTCTTACAAAAATAAAGCAACAAACAATAACAACATTTAGCACTAACAACAAAGAAGACTTCTTCCTGTGAAGTTCTTAAACGTGGTCCTCATTTGGTTAGCTTTTGTTGCTGTGTGAAAATAAGTCTTTGGTAGCTGGATAAACAACAGCAACATCCAAAGTCTTGTCAGAAATGCGATCATCGCTTACAGGCACTGTTGTCGTGCCATTGTTTTCAAGGTCCCAACTCATTAAGGAAAGAGATCAGATACTGGACGGCACTACTTACAAACAAAACAGAAAACAATCAGGAGTGCATAGGCTGCTGGAAATACAGCTGTCTGCTTGCAAACCATCCTAACAGTGTTTACCTAAAGTCATTTCATCTGTATGTACATTGTAGTTTTCCTTGAGTTAGGCAAACCAAACGGCAAATATGGACGGACCTGTAACAAAGACAGCTTCCAAAAGCCTAAAACATTCCTCCTATAGTACAAAACACATGATTTTTGTTCTGAATTTAACAAAAACAGAAGATAAGCAGAATTAGTTGTCCCCCTCATAAGCAGCCCCAACAGCAAACAATACAATTTATGAGATATTACAGTATACTGGTTAGTTTACTGCAGCAGTTCATCAGCTTTGATGGAGTACACTGCTTTGATCTCCACCTTGGTAGCTTATCCTGTATATTTTCCTTGTTATGCTTAAGATGGACAGGAAAATGGCAGCCATACACTATAGGTAGATTAAAAAGTCCTTATTAGTCTGAAATGTGCAGCTGGTAGTCCTTTGAAGTATTTTGAGATGGCTTGAATCCACACGAATGGGGCTGATCTTGTTGAGACTTGGAGGACCATCACAGATGGGTCTCCTCTGGGTCATGAGGGAGCAAAGTCCCAGCACTTTCCAGGTTAGCGCCTGCAGGGCAAGCCCAATCAACACCTCCTCACCCTCTCTACCTCATCATAGGAAAAAGAGGAGGGTGTTTTTTTTATTGGGAGAGTTTGGCCAGGTAGGGAAATCCCCTACCCGCTGTCTAGGCTAGTCTGCCCTCTCTACGCTTAATGCTCATGCCTAAGAAGAGAGACTACGACAAAGAGCTGGATGGTACACAGGACAGGCCTGACTTGGCACCAGTTTTAGAGCGTCTCTAGTTCTGGTTTTGTGCTTATCAGAATCAACAGTTCATTCGAGTCCCATCAATCATTCAGAGCACCGATGATTCTTCTTCGCTGTCTCGAAGGGGTCTCGACGGCGGCGATTTAGTAACGCTTACGTTCAAAAAACGAGGTCCACGACTGGAAGGAGAAAGTGGCTCTGCCCGCCCCAAGGCAGAGCCACTTATACAGCAGAGCCAGTGGTGTGGCTACAGCTCTGCAGCTGGTTCTGTTGGTGTCCCTCTTGGGTCACCTGGACGTTCTGATTGTCCAAAAGCACGTCCGTCGGGATGCGGGACTGGAATTTCTCCAGCTGCTCCGGGCTGGCCAGGTTCTTGAGCAGGTAGTTCTCCCTCTCAAGCTGGTTGTTCTTCTCCGCCAGCTCCTTGATCTGCTCCTTGAGGATCTCCACCTCCTCACGGACAGCATACATCAGGTGGTTCTTGACAAGATCCTGATATGGCAAAAAGAGATTAATTAGACTTGCAAGAATTGCAAAAAAAAAAAAAAACTAAATTTTATAAAACTAATATGCTTATCGCCAAACTAACTCAAGCATTTGGTTTTCCAGGAGATATAGATTCTTCCCTGTCTCTTATAGCACCAAAGTAGCATGGAATAGTACTTTCTATGCATTCCTTTTGTTTTGCTTCTTGCACTCTGTTTACTCTGAGATGTGAAACAAACATGAAGCAGCTTGAGCCTGTGGCTCACAGCTGGGGCTTCCCGCTGCTTTTATTTATCAATATCTTTTTTTTTTTAGACAAACAATCCATATGTGCTCTGATTGCATGCATTCTGTATTTAAAAGTCGTATAAAAGCTGTAACATCCCGTATAGGTCAGCTACTATAGTTTGTCTAAAATATGCATGAGCCCTACTGGTTCACCTTTCTGCACCTATAAGCATTGTGTTTGCTGTTGCTGCTCTGCTTACCATGGCCTGCTCGATCTTGTTGTCAATGGCCACCACGCTAGCACCAGAGGCACTGCAAACAGGAAGAGAGAGAGCCATAAATTCACAGCCCATAAACACCGTTAAATCCACATGCACAGCTTCTTCCAGACGTCACACATCAGACAGTGAAACTAAAAGCTGCAAGAAACGAAAGCGATGCTTTTTAAGATCTATTACAATTTTATAAGCGAAGGAAAGTTAAAAGCAGCCAAGATTATCCTTCAACGGGAGTTTAAGTTTAACAGTAAACAGCATCAGACGGTAGTTTGTGGAAAACAATAATAAACTGGCGTCGCTCCCAGTTAATAACAGGTTAATAACGGGTTAACAACGTCGCACTCAGCTTAATAAATCTATGTACCTGTTGTCAAGTTTGACCGAAACGACATCTCCTCCGAGCAGCGAGGAGAAGAAAGAGATGGAGAAGTTGTGCAGCTCATAAACAGCCACCTCCATCGGGGTCTTAGCGAACATCTCTGTGCTCATGTTGAAGACCACACTCGTTTGGATGATGCTTCTCGCCACGATTGCGACTTTGTCGGTCACCGAAGTGAGTCAGTTAAGTAGGGATCCGGTTCGGTTGGTCGGGTTATAAGCAGCGATGCACGCTCTCTTTGTAAGGTTTAAGAGCTGAGTGCTGTGTCGGGTTTCTCTGTGAAGCTTCGCCGGTTCTTCTGAGCGGCTGTCTGTTGCTATTTCTGCCTCCGGCTTGTATTTGTAAGGCTGGTTTTTGTGACGTTTGTATAAATTATGCAGATTAGCTATAGCGGCAGAGAATAGGAAGAAGGGGGCAGAGCTTCAGCTGCCTTCAAGGGCCATCAGGAAAAACAAATCACTAATGAGCCATATTTTTAGGTTCTGATAAATACGCCCCCCTTTGCTTTTTACATTATGCAACATAGTACACATTGTTCCGTAGGGTCCATAAAGCGTCTAATTCACCGTGCTATCTTTAAATACGTAAATAGTTTCATCATGAGGATCTGCGCGCAGTATTTTTCCTTTTTTTATGACTGTTTATGAAGTTGAAAACAGCAAAACGATCACCTATGATGCACTGTGGAAAGGCTCACTGTTAAAAAGACACTTTATAAGCATTCCGGTCATAATAAGCATCATAACATCCCCAAATGTTTAAGTACAAGGTTGTTTTCAGTTCTTCTATTTCCAGATAAGTTATAATATCTACTGTGCAATGCGTCAGCGCTCATATAGATCGGGTTTTCTCTGAAACACAAACAAGCTCTAAAATAACGACCGGTGAAACGAGCCTTTGAACGCAGCACCGCCAGTGCCCCCCTTCTGAACTTCTGTACTTTTTTCGAGTACTTTATGCAGTTAACCCACAAACGGAGACGTGCTGAAAATCTAACCGAGCGAACACTAAAAGATCTTTTGCATATGAGTAAATAAGGTGGCCCTATTGTTCAAAACAGCAGCAAAAAACTAAAAAGCTTATTTTATTTATCAAATGTTGCACGCACCACACGTTTATTTAAGCGAATTTTAAATTACAATCTGGTTTATAGGAGGGATTAGTTTATTAGATTTACCCTGATTTGCTCCTGAGAGCTTCTTGTTATCGTATCATTTCCTTGAACAGTGCAGGTTTCTATCAGCAGTGTGGACCCCTGATAAAGTACAACATTGAGTACAAGAGTGACAAAAACGTGTTGTCCCAAAATTTGTCCTCTACATTGTTTATCATAAAAGTCTATAGTATTATTGGATGTTTTTTCAACAACCAGAGCACATGCCCACCTACAGTTTATATAGGTATTTTTCCATCCTATACTTTGGTAGATTTCCTACAATTATATCCGAACTTCACCTCCCCCTAGTGGTGAGAGCGGAAGTTACATTGTACTGTAATATCCATATTTATTTATTTTTTCCTTTGTGGATTTTTCCATTCACCTACTTGTAGCAAATCCTTACTTATTCTAAATCAATATATGCTATTCACACAATCATACATTAATGTTTATATGTCACATTCCTGGAAAAACAGTTATATGTGTACAACAAAAACACAAGGATTATTTTTGTAACATAAATGTAGGTCATTATATCTGCGATGAGCACCCCTATAACCATGCAAAGTATAAATAACCACTCATTGATCCCTGCTCTTTATTGCTTATCCTTTTTTCACTACTGGTAGCATTTTAAAACTTTTTCACATCTCACACAATTCTACTTGGTTTTTTCCAAACTAATAAACAGATTGTGGGCAGCAGTAAAAGCTGATAAAGCACATAAAATGTCAACATACTTTTTTTCCACTGAGTAGCACCTAAATTTGCTGTTAGATGTGTTTATGCTCTATGCAAAGTTAATCAGCTTTAATGTCATTGCTCAACACCATTCAGCTGTCTCTCTGTGTACTCATTTCTAACTGCAGTTTACTGATACTGTATTGATGATGAGCCGGAAACTTTCTTTCTTTGGGAACACCACTACGTAAAACATTCTCTTCTACTCACAGTAATAGAAGAACATTCTAAGTTAGTCAGTAACTTCTTTGGAATTCATCCATAGAGTGTTTTTTTGATCCATCTCTAGGAGCGTTCCCTTTTGTCTCATACATATCCAATCACAGCACATCAGGTAGTATTTAAAAACAGCTATTCAATATATACCAACACAAAGTAGTTCATAGTTATAATGTGGAATAAAAACACAGTTTTAAATCTAGTTTTTTTACAAAAACACTTCCAAAACATGTGCTGTGCATATCTATTCATCTTGCCAAATCAATGCCTCGTTGAACCCATCTTTTAATCTTATAGCTTATGTCTTTAGGGGTATGCCTCTAAAGCCGTACATATCAAGATCATTTTTCCACTTTCATTTCAAAGAACCGCTGAAACTCATTCAAACTGAGAGTTACAGGGAAAATTATATTTAAAGTCTTGTGTCAGGTTTTCAATTGGATTTACATTTGGACTTTGACTGGGCCATTCTGTAATTTTAATCGTTTAGGGGGTTCAGATGTTTTCGTTTGCCCTTCTCTGGTGGGGGTGGCCATTGCTGTGTGTGGCCTCATTTTATCCCATTGATCTGAGGGGCCTCTGAATATCTGGGGCTGGGTTCGCCTCTTTATTGATCCTGGGCCCTGTCAGAGGAGTGTGGCGCAGTCCACACCTGCTATTAAGCATATTTTCCTTCTGAAGATGTTTTGTAACTCCTTTATGCTCTAGCATGCCCATGCATACAAACCACAGGATTTTGGTTTCAGGTGTTTGAGGATATACATAAATACTAAATACTAAGCTGCAGCTACAGATATTTACCACCCTAAATAATATTGTGTAATCACCATAGATTTTGCAATCCACACACATGGATATCTAAATTACACCCTGGAAGGTTTTCAATGCTTTCAATAATTTGGTTGTCTGTTGTCTTCTATCTATTGTATATCTTCTTTGTTGACTACCTTTGCAGTTTTGTTTTATTTTTTGGTTTTCATGCACTCTTCCCTGTCTCTATCTTTTTCTCTGTCTACTTATTTCCTATACCCTCTTTATTTCTCACATCCTTAATCATTTTCAATAAAGTTTCATATAAAAGTACCAAGCAGAATCTTATAGCAACAGTCATAATGCTCTGCTTGTGAAAGCAAAGCTGTTGGGCTATCGTCTAGGACACAAAAAACAAACATTTAAATAGTTTGACTGTAGTCTCTGTCCAACCAGCTTCATAGTGATGCTGAGGAAACATATTCCTGACATATCCCCCACCATACTTGACAACTGAACAGGTATGTTCAGGATGATTCAGAGTTTTTGTATGTTTGCTTTTGATGTCTTTTTTAAGCTCACATTGCCTTTTTTACAAAAGGCCAAAACGTTCAGTTTGGGTCTTATCTGACAGCCTTTTTAAAAATGTTTTTTGCCCCCAACCTGTTGAAGTTGTTGCAAACTGCAAACTCTTCTACACACTCCTGTAAATGCTGAGCGCAACGAGTTGGTCAATCAGCAAATTCATTCTTTTAACTTTTCTACAACTCCCATACTAGTCTGCTGTTTTCCCTTAATTTTTGTGATGCTGTTTGCTCTCTAATATTCAATAGCAGACCTTGGTGGCCTTTACAGCACAGCTGTTTTTTTTTTTTTTAATTTTGCTCCGCTTTTATTTAGGGAAGGAGAATAATATGAATTAGTATGTCCCCAGCCTGTTTCTAGATTGTTCCATCTTTTGGTTTTCTTTTCGATGACAGCTCATGTTTAATGCTTGTCATTTGTATTCAATGAGTCACGCTATAGCCACATTTCCCATCAAATGTCTTTAGCTCCAAAGCCAAACATGTTATATCATAAGTTCATCCCCAATGATGGCTGAAAACGAAAGACAATGAGTCATGCTGCCAACTGTTTAGCTCTTGCTAAAAGCAACATGTCTAGGTTTTGACAGAATAATTTCAAGAAGAATGCAGCAGCGACTGCCAAAAATGCAAATGATTAATTCAAAAGAGGCCACGAGGAAACAAACAAGAACATGTACATTGTTTTTGACTTGCTTTCTTGCTATTTCTCTCTTCTTTTCCAAGAGTTTGTAATATGTTGCCTTTTAGGAGTGTGATCTACCAATGTGCATAATCGCCACCGGCTGCAGCCAGAGGCTATCTCAAAGGGTGCTGATCTCAAAGGAAGCTGTCCATGTGGGCAACAACACTGACTACAAACAGTGAATACTAAATGGTCTCTACACACCAGGACACCCAGAGGCAGTCGTTACCACATCTTCTTCAGTCTCTTGAGCAGCAAATAATAAGGCTCATAGCTTGAGTGTTTCTAATGAGATGTGTTATTACATCTAACAAACTGTCAGCATGTGCCTTTCAGTTGGAAATAGCAATTCGCTGCAAGGTATTTGATGAACAATTACATGACTACCATTGAAATCCAGTATCATTTGTGATCATCGCTGGAAGGAGAAAAACAAATAATGTGCACAACTGTTTTATCAACACAGCATGAATGAGAAAATAGAAATAAGTACGAGCTTTCAACATTAACAGGCAAC